TGGAATACGAGCTAAATTATTAACTGACCATCGGAAAACAGTTCAAAGTTTAAATTTGCAATGCTAAAATTGTTTATGCATATAAACATTATAAAGATAGTTTCTCTTTATATTAACCATATTAAAGAATTTAATTTATATTTATTATAATTCCTTATTTGTTCCCTTTTACAACAGTTTCCGAACCTTTATTTGTGTAATCATCAGCCAAGAAGCCATTTTAAGCTACTTGTCAACTGCGATCTTATCTAGGAATCCTTAGAATCTATAATATCGGCAAAACTAAGAACTGGCCAGGGAAGCTTTAACTCGTTATGTGGAAAATAAAACTCACGAGCAAAGAGATAATACTATCTGCTCTTAGGGGACTGCGTTGTAAAACCTTAAGCCTCTACAGATAGATATAACTTATAGGTCTTCTTTAGGTTGGGCCACTCGAGCAAGGGGTTCAAATTACCCGGATGTGGTCTTGAATTCATAGATATATTATCTATGTGTATTTAGATTTTTAATTTGTTATGTACCAGATACCCTGAACCCATTCGAAAGGACTAAAAAGAGTATCATGTTTTTGCGCACATTTATAAGATGTGACCTAGAGACGTAAAATTTCCGACTAGAGCTTCTTACTTTTAACTATTTATTTTTATTAAATTATTTGATTAACTAATTAAGATGCAGTTGCATATGTTTTTGACGAATGATATACACTTGACATCTACAAGCATTTCTTAACTAAGAACTTTAAAAAAATTTAATAAATTATATTTTATATATTTAAGTTTACAAATTTTACCATACACATGAGCAACTGCTACGTACGAGCTTCAAAATTTAAAATTCATAGCATAAATCCATAATCCAATAGAGCTTTTTTTGTTCTTCTCTTCATTTTTTGGCTCTCCTTTGACTATTTGCAACTGCAGCGAGCTAATTTGGAGTTTTAATTCCGTTTATTGCCGCATTGAAAGCGCAAAGAAGCTGCCAAAAGAAAAAAAAAAACGAATGCCAGGAATATGATATGTTCTGTTATAGTCTGGTCGGGTCTGTTCTGCTCTGCTCTGGTCTGGTCGGGTCTGGCTGTAGAAATATGAGTGGCAGCCGCAGACAAGACGTAGGATTTGGGCATATTTCTGGCAACGTTTGGTGGCATGCCAACTGCTTGCCAAATGCCGCAGCTGCTTTGAAGCGCCGCCAGCGACGGGGGCAGGGGTTGCAGCTTGGCTGACGCCTTCCTCCCGCTGGGTACAGCGAAGAGAGCTGCAGGAGAGGGAGGAGGCAGCAGGGCGCGGACTAGAAGTACTCGATGCGACAATTGTTGAAATTTAAGAGGACGCAACGCATGTTGCAAAATGTCGCAATTTGCTGGCGTTCGCACACGATGGCCGCGTGTGGCACGTGATGTGAAAAATGATGCACACACACACACACACACTCACGCACACTCTCGTAGTTGTGCCGGTGATCGGATCACAACATAATCTGAGCCACGTTATCACTTTGGTAAACAGCAGCCGAAGCGGCCAGCTCGAATATCAATCAATTGCACAGACCCTTCACCCTGGACCATTCGCCCTGTCTCTCATCGCTCTCCCCCTCTCCCTCTCCCTCGCACTCACTCTAATCTCAAAGATACTCAACACATTTTGCAAATTACACGCTGTACTTGGTGGGAACACAACTGTGTGGCAGGGTTGAAAAATGGAATTTTGTCTCAGCTCAGGCGACAAATGCATGCAACAAAAGCAGCGTCAAATCGAAAATAAAAGTAATTTCGAAAATTGATTTCTTTAAACTCGTGAAGGTTATCAGCAGCATGACGCGCTCTGGCCCGATAGGGCTGCCTCTTCAGCTATGACACAGCCCAAACCGAACGAAATACTAAATACTTTGAGCTCATCTTGTCACACGAGACTTGAGAGCTGGCAACTTGTGGCATCGAGTTACAATTGAAGTGGCCCATTAAAAAAAGGGCCACACATAATATAAATAAATGGGGGAAATGCACTTTGTAACGCATGCGATAAAATTGCAATTTTATTATTATTATGTTTTTTTTTTTTGTCGATAAAAATATGTTTACTTTGTGGCAATTAAAACGAAGGCCACAACGCAAATTATGATTGGGATTTATTGCAGCTTTGATAAACGTATAAAAAAATTTCAACTTTAACTCGTTCTTGTATTGATATATTTGCATTCTTAATATGCAAATAAACTGGTTTAATTTTCAGCATTTTACCTATCTGCCTTAGTCAACAAATATTATCATGTTTTTAATTTCAATAAACCACATTGAAGTACAAGAACTAGTCTTTAACCACGACCGTGAACCATTTCATATATGTTAATGAAACAATTTCATCGTGGATTTATATGTAATAACGTATAAGCTTCTTAATTATTCTCTTTATATTCCCTCAATATAAAATATATATAGTTAAGATATTATAAGATATATAAGATTGAAGCATTCTAGATTGAGAAAACTGTCTTCAATGTAATAAAACGAGTTCATCTCTAAGTCATTTGCAAATCTGTTTTGTATCGGCTTCTACTCAAAACGCCAGCTTCAAACGAGCTTGAAAAACATGACCTCCATTCCCTATTCCCTATACTCTATTCTATATTTTTCATGTGTAAATGTGGAAGTGAATGCACTTACTTTATGATTGTACGTGCACGTATGTACGCCTTGACTACTGCAGCACTACTATAATACTCTTTTATTGAATGTATTGAATGGAATAACGAATTGCGATTGTTAATGTATAGCTTACATAGCTTACATTCGCTTAGTTTTGCGTTGTTTGCCTTGGAAAGCAGTTGAAATTGTTGAGTGCCTCAATATGAGGAATACAGTTGAATTATGTGCAATATATGCCTTGCTGATTACAAGTCAAATTTACATTGTAACTGGAGAGTTTACCTGTGGCTTCAGTTTCGCCCAGCCAGAATTCCATCAGGTTATAAATAATCTGAAATCCATAACTGAAGTCCAGGCAGTACAGAGCGAAGAACTTAGTGCAGTATCGAAACAAATTGAGGATTAAAAAAAATGTAATGCGCAAGTTAAAGTGGAAATATTGCAAACGCTTGCAGACGTGATAGAAAATAAAGCGGATCAATTAAATGAACGGAAACTAGCTGAAGTTCGATGCGAAGCCGATACGTGCGGTAAAAAGCTACGCGAGCCGATAAATGCAGTGCACAAGCATCTGTAAGCAAATCAACAGCGAAAAAGATCTAGAAATGTTGCAACTGAAATTCGACTTAAACTTGCATGTTAAATTACACGGAGATTTGAGACAACAACTCAGTGCAAAGGATCAACAGATACTCGAACTCAAAAACAAAAACAATTTCGATGCGAACAATATTGAAAAGCTAGAAGGCAGAATTTCGGTATACTCGAGCTACTGTTAGGCCAAAAATTGTTTGGAATTTGGCAACTCGACACAGGAGCATGTGCTATAGCTGCCCGGTGCTGAACCCTTTGAGGCACTGTGCAATGGACGCATTGCCGGACCCGGCTGGACAGTGGTTCAACGTCGCATCAATGGCAGCGTCAGTTTTAATCGCAATTGGACCGAGTACCGCAATGGTTTTGGTAAACTAAATGGTGAGTTTTTTATGGGCCTGGAGCAACTGCATCGCATCACAGCCAGCGAAGCCCATGAGCTCTACATTCAGCTTGAAGATTTCAACAATGCGTCCAGCTATGCGCGCTACGATATGTTCGAGATTGGCGGCGAGGATGAGGATTATGCCATGATAACCCTGGGCTCTGGAATACTCTGCAACCGCTGGCGATTCACTCCGCGTCAACGTGAATGCAAAGTTCAGCACATTCGATCGAGACAACGATGCCAGGGATATGAACTGTGCCCAGCATCTATCCGCCGGCTGGTGGTACATTGATTGCGGCCAAAGGTGGTTCAAGCTCATTTTGTTGACGCTCGCCGCATATTATATTACATTTAATATTTGTATATCCAGTAATTTGAAAGGTGTTCATCATATGGAGGTCGGTTCGATTGGCTGAGGTTTCAATCACTTAAATCAGTCCTGATCATGATACGTCCAAAAGCTATATGAAGAAAGTTAAACAGAATAATAAAAAAATATATATATTTATTAATCAGCATGAACACTATTTGTAAAACATATTAATAAGAATTATCTGTCATACTATATATGGGTTATACAACAAGTCATAGCAAGTCCGACTTTATACATATATATAACACTATCTTTATGCATTTGAATAGATACCCTGTACGCCCAGCTGAGCTTTATTGTTAGCAAAAAATAAAATAAATATTTTAAAGCAATTATGAGTGCTCGACTGGGAGATACCGTGCATGCAGCTCTCTGTATCCTATAATTTGATATTCACCAAATATATATACATATGTATACCCAAATTTGTCTGAATTGTCTTCTTCTGCCTGTTACATACACATGTGTAAAGCCCTTATAGCCTCTCAGCATTTTTTTTATTAATTACAGTGTATCAAGAACTCTCCTTCTTAGTTGTCAGTTGGTACAGGGTATAAGCAAGTGTCATACATGTTACATATGAACTGATTCCTAGAAATCTGACAAACAACAATAATAACGCATGATGCAAAATAAAATGAATGAAATACATTTATACCATTTTATGTTATTCTATAATTATTTCACAAAGCATGTAACGGGCATAGGGTATGCTGAATCTCTGGAAACTAAAAAGCTTAAGCTTGCAGTACTAAAGAGTTTCAAATGAAAAAACGTTGATAACTTAATCAAAACCAAAGAAAATACATGCAAATAAGACCTAAACAATTTGATTGAAAGGCTTAAAATTCGATTCTAGAGTTTTTTCAAATCGGACTAATAAAAACAAAGCAACTCTTATCAGCTTTAGTATAAAATAGCAAGAGTAAAATACAAATACCAAGTCATATTATATATAAAATAAATACACATGACGATTCCAGACAGTTCATTTTTATTTGCTGTACAGTCAAAACTGCAACGCAAAGATTTAATTTTCAATAAATAGATTGTCAACATATTTAAAAATATATACTTAGAATGCAAATTTGGAGTGTAACAGCGATTATTTTGCTAACATGTTCAGTTCTGCGTGCGGAGAACTCAACTGACGCAGTCAGTTCAAAGAGTATTGCCGAGCTCTTGCTTCAAGCCCAACAATATGAAGACGAGATTCAGCAGGACGAAGAAAGTATTGGAGTATTGGAAAAATATATTAGTGAAAATATAACTAATATCAAAAAAGATTTTGATATCATACGAAATCAGTTGAGGCAATTCGAAGAATTAGAAAATCTGGCCCAAATCTATAGAGCTGCGCTTTTGAAAATAGAGCCAACATTATGTTTACCCGAACTCAAACTAAGCGGATCCTATAAGATCAACGGCTCGTTCGAAGCGAGCTGCAGTGGGGATGATATTGCCGGACCTGGCTGGACTGTTATACAGAGACGCATTGATAATAATTTGATCTTTCAACAAAACGGGACCTCGTACGAGCGCGGATTTGGTGACAGCTCAAACAATTTCTTCATTGGTCTGCAAAAGTTATATCAATTGACAAGCAGTAAGCCCCATGAGTTGTATATACGTCTTGAAAACCTACTGGGCGAGACACGCTATGCACTCTATAGTCATTTCAAGATTGCCGACCTCGATGAGCACTATACATTGAAACAATTGGGTGATTATGCTGGCAATGCTGGTAATGCTTTAAAACATGCTCTAGATCAGCCATTTAGGATATATGATACCATGTGTGGTTGGTATCAAACAAATCCCAATATTGGCTGGTGGATTGGTTGCAATCTTTCCGGTGAAGAAAGGTAAATAATTTCTAGAGAGTTAATTTGAATGCTTATATAAAACTTTTGACCTGTATGCAGCAACCTGAATGCATTGCTGAGCCAATGGCATACCTGGCCGACGAGTTTTAGATCTGTCGAAATGATGATACGTCCGCAATTGATGTGCCACAATGCATTTGATAATAAAAAAAAATATTCAAATTCCATTTTAGACTGCCTTTTCAAGAGGAATTTCTGAAGTAATATGCATATTTATATATAAAAATTCCCTTTCAATGTCGTATAACTCAGCAATAAAAATATATGTTTAATATATTTATCTCTATATATAAAACTGTTTGTCCTGACTGACTGACTATTCGCAAAATCTAAACTCCTTCGGTGAAAAATGCATTTCAAAGATTTTTTTGATGATTTTTAAGTTTTGTCCGATTTGCATAAAAGTTGTTTGGTTCCCGTCCGATCAGTTTCAAAATCATTTTCAAAGCTTTTTGAAAACATTGATTTTATAACATACGTGCCACGGGCAAGGCCGGTTTATACCCGCTAGTATATTATAAAACTCATATAAATAAAATGTAGATACGTTTTTATTGTGCATTATCATTAATGACAGACGCTGGCATTGGGCTTCCCAGTTGATGCTCGGTAGCTGCATTTTCTACCCTTCTAGAGGGCATTATAATTTTGTCGTGCAATGTGTGGACGACATCGATTCCATAAAATGTAGATATTCCTGATAAAAAGTAAACGCCGAGGTGATTTAACAGCTTCGCAAACTACTCTTTTTTTTTTTTTTAAGTTTGTTGCTCAAAGGTTTTTTCATAGAAAATTTGAATGTTATCGAAACGAAACTCATCACTACGAGCTTCATTTTCCTCCCAACATGTATGTACTGTATTATGTAGCCTTACAGTTGTAGTTAGTCATGTTTTACCAGATAGCCTCTGCTGTGCCAGATAGCCTCTGGAACCCCTCGTGAATCTGTGAGCAACTTCGTGCTGTTGCTCACTTTTGTTCATTTTCGCAGCCTCAGTTTAGTTCAAGTTCTTCTGTGCAACGTTTATGTACGGCAATAAAATACCTATAAACCTAAATATGATGCAATTCCCATTTGTGGTTTTGCTGACCTTTCTCAGCTACACTCTGGCTGATAAGGAGGAGCTATGTGACTCAGAGATTGAAGCATGGAAATCCCAAATCGATATATTGGAAGCTGATATTGAAGAGCACGAAGAGAAATTACAAATTTTAACATCCGAAATGAATATCCAATTAAAGTCAATAGATTTTAGTTTAGTTGCCAATAATTCCGCGGAAATAGAGCATCAATTGCAACTAGAAGAAAAGGAAAACTATTTCAAGAGTTTTTTAAACTGTGATTCGCGGCAAATATCTCATAACTGGCTACATTATTTAAGATTCAAGGGTACCTATGAGTTCAAGTTACCCGATTGGACAATATTCTCTGCATTCTACGACTCGGATTGGACAGTTATACAGAGGCGAACGTGCCAACACTTAAATACGGGTTCCGGTCATCCGGATAGTGAGTTTTTCATAGGCTTGGATAAGTTTTATGCCATGATTGCGTCGCAACCTCACGAACTGCTTATATATTTTCAATACTATCACAATCATATCGGCTATGCATATTATAAAAACTTTTCAATTGGAAACGAGCAGGAGGACTACAAGCTAATTTCATTGGGTCAATACTCGGGCAATCTCCTAACCTATCTGGAAAAATGTGTGGGAGTAAGGTTCATAGGCATTAATAAGTACGATATCCACAAAACCTTCTCCGATTGCGTGGAATATTCGCTAAAAGGTTACTTGTACAATAACGAATATATTGTATATGAATCTTATACGTTTATGATCCGACCTATTAAAAATAGCAATTTGTAGTTTTTTAAAGGAAATATATGTACAAGCAATTGATATTTATAAACAACAAAAATGGTCAATGTTAAGATTGAGAATTCTGTCATTAGACAGAAAGATGATAGTTACATGATATATATATATTATAGAGTATTCCAATCAAGATAAGATTTTGCCTAGAACAACTCAGAAATGCCAAGTTTTGCGGACATGCATTGAAAAAAGGAGGTTTTACAAACTAGATATTGATCAGAAAATGTTAAAAACTAGATTTAAAAAACTAACACATTTTATGGAATACATAACATGCATATAGTTAAGATATCCAAGAGAAGTATATGAAGTATATGTACGTAAAACAAATCTATTAAGTAATCGAATTATGCTGTGGAATAAATGATGTCTTTTGCTTTGCATAACATGAGAATGCTTATCATCTGGTTGTCTATTGAATGGGGTCAAGTTCAGGGCGTCAAAGAATGGGAACGAGGCAGCTCGAGGAACACAGTTGCCAAAAGGTCAGACGTCAGTTCCGCCCTTATCTCGCATAGATCAACAGAAAATACAAATACAATAACGAGCGCATCTCAAATTTGGAGCGCGTCATAAACGCCAGACTCCCAGACCAAACGGCAGTATGAGCGACCCTCGGTGAGCTATAAAAAAAAGAAACCCCGAACCGAGCCCGGCGAATATGAGAAGAAATACATGAATGTGAGCGCATTTCTATGCAATTAGAGGCAAAGACCCCGATAGATAAAAAACCACCAAAATGATGCGCTCAAAATGTAACAAATAGTAAATTTCATTTTGTTCTTTTTTTCTTCTTATTTTTTTCTGGTTTGTTTCGTTCGTTTTTTATGTGCAGACAATAAAAGCCACACACGCCGCAGCCTGCCTGCGCCTGCCCACAGCGCTCGGTGGTTGGATACCATCATATCTAAAACTGGCGACACTTGACAATGGCGACGTGTGGTCCATGGCTTGGGACTTGGAATCTAAATTATGAAACACTTTCCGAAAGAAAGAAAGAAAAAGTCGTGCAATAAATAAAATGCTTCAAAAGTGCACTTAAGTTCGAAAGAGGAAGCAGAAAACAACAATAAGAGCAAGCCACAAAACTTGAAACAATCCAAATTCAAAAACTCACAAAATCTGGGTCAAGATGCAGCTCAAAAATTGAGAGCTCGTCACGCATATGGGAAATTTTGAAAGAATATTGCAAAATAATTAAACAACACACAATCCGAAAGATTTGCTAGAGCTCGGCGGCAGCTGCCATTGAATTTGGCCTGGCAAATTGAGTTATCTGGCGTTTTGGGTTTCAATGTCAGACGAAATCGATAAATCGCATAGATAGATATTAGTTCCAGGTGATTAGGCGTGTGTGGGTCCATCTCTTACGCTCCGCTGCATAATGTGGCCAAAATGTGTATGCACAGAAAGGTAAATGCCTGGCATATGGCTTTACCAACTAAATTCCGGACGCACTTACGCCTGACTGACTTTTTCACACGTAGGCAGACGGGCGGGCAAAAATCATAAGCCAAATTACTTGGGTCATGCGAGTTTTGGGCCAAAAAAAAACCCCAAAAAAAAATAGCTGCCAATGGCCAAAAGTTTGTTGGCCACGTTGTGCCAAAGGTCTTGCCAAGACGCGGGTGGGAAGGGAAGGACCCACTACAATAATTTATAATTCAATAAGTTAAAGTTGAATGCGGCCCAAGCAGCATAAGCTTGTGCCTATAGAAAGGAGTTAAGTCTCACGTACACTCACATGTGTGTGTGTGTGTGCCCCTTGTGCGCATGCCACACAATTCACCTGGAAGGCAACTCAGAAGCGAAGATTAATTGCGGCAGCGTCTTTTGTTGCCGCCACTTATCTTGCCCTTGCTGCTCGCCTCGCTCTCTCGCTCTCTCTCTCTCCCTCGTTGTCTCTCTCTCTCTCTCTCTCTCTCTCTCTCTCTCTCTCTCTCTCTCTGGTTGTCTCTTCTGTGCGATAAGGAATTTTATTCGCTGCTCAGTCCCTAAATTGTCCCTAACCCGTTTCAACTCGCAGCGTGCACACGTAATTGCATTTTCCTTGGCATCTCATTTTAGTTACGGTCTGGCAACTCCGCAACTGGGCAACCGGGCAACTGGGCAACTGGCGACTCGAGAGTCGAGACGCCTCTTGATGATGTGGATAACGCGCCTACGAGCATAGGTGTCGCCAAGGCGATTAGGCAGCAGCAGCAGCAGCAGCAACAACAATGAGTGCCCACCATGAATCAAAACCAAGTTAACTATGGTCGGAGGGGTGGCGGGGGAGTGTGGTGTGGGGAGAGAGGGTCACACTCTCACTAAAAGTGAGTGACTGACTCGATTCGTTAACGCCGCCAACTGTCACATGATTTTGAATAATGTGGCGGTCATTTGAATTATTGTTGTGCCCACAACGACCCTCAGCGTGGCCAGCACGCAGTTAGCCAAAAAGGCCAAGATCCCCACTCCTCTGCCCCCCTCTACACCTACCTATCCTTTCAACCTTTAAACAGAATTCTGGCAAAGGCAATTTGTCTGGCTGTCTCTCATGCAAGTGCCGAGGTTTCTAACATTGCTCAGCCATTTGATTGTGATAAGAAGTGAACCAGATCAAATTGATATTAAAAACTGAAGAGGGAAAAGGTAAAGAGTTGAAGAGGCTGACAATGCTTAGGCAAATATTTATGAGATGTAGGTAGGCTTCTTTTTTACAGGGTATTCAGACATAACGCATTCTTAACGTATGGTTTTTAAAAAATTAGATTATCTCGTCGAGGTTCTATACATTCTTGATCAGTATAATTAGATGAGCTGAAATAGCCAAGCCCATCTCTCTGTCTGTTATTCTCTTCATATATAAATATATAGGTAAATAAATATTAAAATAATTTAATTAATAAATAAACAAATAAACAAATATATAAATAGATTCGTCCATTCAAAAACTTTTGTATGTTTTTGTTTTTCGGGTTTTCTAAGCCTATCTTTTCTTATCTTAGGATGTGCTCCATAAAATATTCAAGCCTCGTTGCGAAGCTGACGTTAATTTTTTCTTTAATTGACTTTCTATTATTTATATGTATTTTTTTAGTGATATTTCTGATAGCAGCACCCAGAGGAATACCGTGTCAAAGCTGGGTTAACCTCGACTAAAAACTATATGGAATGCGTCATTGCTTTGTTATTCGATTTAATTTTTTTTTTGTTTATTCCGTTAAGGTCCCTTTTATCATTCTACATTGCCAATAGCTGGAAGTATTTAGGAAAGTTTATTTTTCATTCAATTTTAGCTGTGCTCAGTAGATGTCAGACCCCCTTAAATACTTGCCTCTGCTCTTAATCAAAAACATGATTGATTCCTACAAGCTCTTATACTTAAGTTCATATGATTCCTTCACTGTCATTATCCTTCACATATATTATTTTTGTTATTTAAGACGTGCTTAGTCGATGTAATATCTCCTTAAATGCTTGTCGCTGCACTCTAAACTGTATTTTAATTATTCCAACTTTGCCAAGTTTTCATTTTCTCATATGTTCAGTAGATATCAGACCCCATTGAATGTCTTTTAACCTTTCGATTTTCTAGATCGAAATCCCCAACAACAGTTATGCTTGGCGCCAAAGCTTTTTGCTCACGTCAAATGAGCTACTTTATCAGCTGCTCAATTTGAATGCATTTCTTTAATTATTTATCTCACATGCTTGGACATGTGTAGCCCTTTTGTAACCTTTTGCCAAACAAGATTCCGCTGGGGCTGGGTCAATTTGTCTTTCACCTGGTAACACTTGATGATTAAGCGACGCCTTTCTATGGTCACCTGTTTGGGTTCGATCATAAAATAGATGCATTTTATAATTTGTTTGGAACGTTACGAGCGGCGCCTCCGACCGATGAACCCCGCCCCCTCCCAACCAACCTACAGACCAAACCGAAGCGAATGTAATGCGCTACTCGAGTTGACTTTTGGATTGGGGCTTGGGGGTATATGTAGCTGCATGGAGTGAAAGTAATTTTTGGTATTTTTATGGTCACGCACACAGCAAGCGAAAGAGAGAGAGAGAGAGAGAGGGAGTGAGAGCGAGAGAGAGAGAGACAAAGCATAAGCCATTAAGGCTGCATTCCTTTAGTGTGGAGCTTGTCAAATCATTTTTGACTGGGTGTTGAAAGCTCTTGGCTCTAAAGAGCACATCCAGCACTTCACACGCCGAATTGCTTAATCCGAGTGGGTTCCCCCGTAGCCCCCCCATTCTACGCATTCTTTTGTTGTTGCTGCGTTGACAAAAACGATTAAAATAATTGGCTCGCGACGAGTTCGTTTGTGTAAAAGCCATTTGCATCTGATTTATTGCATTATAAATTGTGCGCATGCCTAAGTAGCTACAATTTTCCAAAAAGAAAAAAAAATTTAGAAAGTTGTCGTCATCTCGAGAAGCGCCTCTATTGACTATAATCTACCAATAGTACACACTCTCGTATTTTATTGACGACCCATTCATAAATTATGCCTAATGAGCCAGCGATGCTACGGATAGCGCCTCCCACCCACAAGCTTTTGTTATATACAGTGCCTCAACTTTGTTAATGCCATGAAATTATAATTGGAAAGGAATGCGCAATGAGGCGTTCAACTAATGCAAAACTTAAAGCTGCTATTAATCAACTAGATCCAAGTATCTGAACGATATAAATCCAGATTTCACAATCTCAACTTGGACTGTAGTAGAACATTGTAATGGGTTTTTTTTCGTTTAAGAAAAAAACATGATGCAAGCTAAATTGTTTTTATTTAAAAAATTTATTTTTGTATTTAATTGTTTAATTCAAGTGTTATTTTATTTATTATTTACTTTATATTGATTTAATCTGAGTATTGGGAAAATAAAATCAATAAGGGGAAAGAAAAGAATCTTAAAATTAAATATTATGAAAAATGATTGTTTAATAGAAAATTTAATCAAGTTAATTTTAAGGTGTTCTGTATAGAATATTGATTAGATTTTTAAATGTATAAAACTTTGGGTATGGTCGGGAACATTAATAGTTAACTATTTGTTTGACTCTTTGCTTATTGTTTGACCTCTTGATAAATTTGGCAGCTAAATCTGGCAACATGTTTATTGTATAAATTATATATATACAAACTTAGTTGAAAGGCATTTGTATACAGAATCGTTCAAGAGGATAACAAAAATATACCAGAACTTTCCTCCGCATAATAATCGATTTCGGTCGAGCAGAGTTTGGGTAGTCGGAAAACTAAAAGGTTAACCTTATGAAAGCAAATTAAAATATGAAGAAAACTTAAAAACGAGTTGTAATATACAACTGTCATATATCACTGCATGTTTGGATATCAAGATAAAAAGGTATACAAACTATTTGCCTAGCATTGTGCATCCATTTACAGCTGTCCATTAGGATAAGCAATTTGTTGCACCTCCGACACGTTTTCTTTGCCTTGTATATCTTCCGATACACAAATCCTAATCCTGGCCCAACCCGCTTGATATCAGCAAACAAATTGTCATCTGCCCACGCAATTTGCAAGCAAACTCTGAAAGTATTTTAAAGACTTTATGCTCAGAGCTGTGTTTCCGAGTGGTGAAACCTTTTCTTTCTGATTGCACAGTTCGGCAATTACAAATTGCCGTCTCACTGGCTGTTAAATCCCTTTTCTCTTTATGCTATGTGGCGGTTTTTAGATGACAGCGTGAATTTCCTATCAGTGGCAAATATTTACCAACACAACTGATCAAAAGCCGAACACCGCCCCTTCCCCCACCAAAAGGGGCTGAGGTGTGTGTGCTAAGAGCGAGGTTTGGGCAGTGGGAAGGGGGCAGCGCGTGCTGTGTTCTGGTTATTAATCAAAAGCATACAATTTTTTAATGATGTTGGCGAACGACATCAAATTGTTGCCTTTATTGTTGTTGCTGTTGTTGTTGTCATTGCACGGCTGCGATAATATTTGGATTAGTTCAAGTCAATTGCATCTTGGCCAACAGTTGGAACATGACGCGTGCTGGCCAAGAAGCAAGAGGATGCCTGCAATGAGACGAATCTAATGTTGCACACGTGCCCAAGCGAAGGCTGCACTCCACAGTGGGTGGTGGGTGGTGCTGGGTGGTGGGTGCTGGATAGCTGTGTTAGTGTATATGTGTGTGGCGACCTGATAGCCGGCCAAGTAAGCAAGTTAAATGTTGTGTTAAGATTAGCAACGGCCAACGCCATGCGGAGACCACAAAAATCGCCTTATCGAGTGGGTTGGGCGCACGGCAAGGGTTCAGGCTTCTACGTGCACGGCATTAACAAAAATTGAAAGCAAATTCGGAATGCGGGCGACATTATCGGCAAACAAACTGTACAAGCCGAAAATGCCTGGCCCGCTTCCCTTTTTCTCTTTCTCTGTTTTTTTATTGGCTATGCTCCTTGACTGCCTAATGACGACGTCGCCAGGCAAAGTTGAGGAGCCGCAGGTGTTGCCTGCAGGCTTGCGTCTGTGCCACATTAAATATGCTCACACTGCGCATAATTTATGGCATCTAATGCCGGGCCTAATACGGCCAAATATACCAAAATAAAAGTTAAACATCAAAATAAAAGTAAACCCGTGCGCTAAATGCTAAGCAAACTGCAGACAGCTTATCAAAGGTCGCTGCGTCTATTGTTGAAGCGCCTCTGCAAACAAGCGACTGCGCTCAGTTGGAAGACAGGGTGTTTAACACCTTGAAAACGTTGTGTGTGGCCAGCAGAATTAAGTAAAAAATATTTATATATATATTTGGAGACATTTACCTAGAACTAACTGAAGTAAAGAATTATATTTTGAGAAATTATATGGAAATCTTTATTTTACTTGTTTTATTCATAAGATCTTTGATATTGAATTTTTATTTTATTTATCTTTTGATAGAAAAGAGTTTTGATTTGTTCAAATTAAGTTGAATCTCTTTTAGGAAATGGAACCCTGTATACTAAGTTCTGATAATTATTACAAAGTGCCTTGCAATAGAAGCATATGTCTCTTACTTCTTTTGATATAATTTAAATGTTTAATCATTATTTAAAGCAATAACTAAAAACTAAAACACACACAAATTAATAGTTTTATTAAAAATACTTTTAATAAACACCGTCTCTCTTTAAATTAATAAGTTTTTAGCTAGATGCAGCTTTATAAAAATCATTAAAATATTTCTTTAACATCACAAATGTTTGGTTTTCACAATAA